ATGCCCTGGGTGGCAAGGGTGTCCCTCTTTGTTCCCAGGGGCAGCAGCACAGAGCGATGAGTGCTCACGGGAGGGAGAGGAGCTGGGATAAAGTTCTCTTCTGACTCCATCTGTCAGTATCAGCACCTTCAATGACAAGGATAGATTCTAAGCATTTTATGGAGTGGGGGTGCTCATGGGTGTGAGGCCCAAGTATCATCTGGGAGGGAGGAGTTGCCAGCTGCATGTCAGTGGGAACGAGCCATTTCTGGGATGATGTTGGTAATAGAAAAAGACTATAATAGCAATAAAAGCTGTGATTTCAGTACACCGGCTGTGTGATCTTCCCTCTTAGCCTCTAATATGGTATTATTTATTTCTCCTCTTAAATATTTACCACAGCCCTCTGCAAATAAGAATAATAAGACAAAATTAATACTACTAATGATAGTGGCAATATTGGCTTCCCGAGCTCCTGTCATATAGCACAGCCTGCATCTGTGTTTTATCTACATCACTTCTAATCCACACAATGACCTTGTGAGAATTTTCCCTCCGTTTTAACAAATCGGGAGACAGGGCTCAGAGGGGCTGTGTAACTAGGTGGAAAGCCTAGTTTGTGAGCACCAGAACCTGGTGGGAACTGATGTGTTTTGCTCGGAATACCTTTGTGTGTGTTTCGAGATCTCTGAGTCGATGTTATCTCCATACCACCAGAAGCCTGTGATGGTACCACCAGGAATAGAGTCGATGCTGTTGTTTTTGGAAGCTAGGCAGGGCCAGGTCGGGTCAGTACCTGGTGGGGAAATGGAATGGAATGAAGCACGCAGCTCCTCCACATGCCCCAGGTTTCTGCAGTGTGAGCCTGGGTCTCTGCAGTTCTCTTGGGAAGCAGAAGAGGGGCTCGATGTTTGCCTCCGAGGACCTTGGACAAAGCCATTCCTAGCACCAGTGAGAAACATTTAGGAGTTAGTGGTTGCCTCGGTCTCCCTCTCTCTCTCCTCGATGTAGGTCTCCAGCTTCTTTTCTTTCCTGCACTTTTCTGCATTCACCCTTACATTGTTTTCTCCCAAATTATCACCTACCACTGCTCCTGCTGGATATCTTCTTGTATCTGCTGCCAGTAATGTTTTCCTTTGTACTGGGGAAAAGAATTAGCTTTTGGGTTGGAACCCATTTCGCTCCACTCTAACCCTAATCATCTTCCAATTTTCAACTCCTTTGTAACCTGCTTGAAGAGTTCTCTGACAAGCTCTCCTGTCCGCCCAAATGCTCTGGACACTTTTTCCATCCAGTTACAGCCAAGTCTCAGTTTACTGGTGTGTGTGTGTGTGTGTGTGTGTGTGTGTGTGTGTGTGTGTGTGTGTGTCTCTTCTCCTCTGCTATCCCGTGAGGGTTTGGAGACAGAGTTGCATCTTCTGTTATCTCAGTGCCTCACATGTTCTGCATTCTCATTAGTCATTATGGAATAAATAAAGCCCCCCATATTTCCTTTGCTATAGGGAGCTGCACATTGAATTCTTGCAGGTCCCTGCTACCTGTGTGAGGAGATTTGTTGGAGCCGGCAAAGGAGATAGCAGAGGAGAACTGGTCAGATTTTGATATGGCCTCCTCTGGTGTGGGCTTCTTTACTGTACTACAAGGGCACTGTCCTGTGAGAATGCTGAAGAGACTGGAGAGGTCATTCATGACCTCAGTGGCTGTGTCCTTGGATGTGCCATGATTGGGCAGCAGTGAGGAAGCTTTACTGCACGCCTGTTCCCAAAGTGGAGGTCACCACACCTTGGCTCCAGTGGGACTGCAAGGGATCCACTTCTCCATGCCTGCTCTAGCTGCTGGTGGAGGCCTGGGCTTCTCTGGACCATGGACAGAACCAAGAAAGGGCTGTTTGTTTTGCCTTCTTTTTCTTGCCCACCTCTCCTGCACTGGAGGCCAGGAAAACTATTCCTATTCCGAACAAGTCAGGGAAGGGGGTCAGGTGTCAGCTTTCCTTTTGGGAATTCCAGCCCTCGAACCATAAATCAGATGACCTACACAGAAGGTTCTCTTTCTTGGAGAAAGGCCTCATGCACAAACCAGCCTGACACTAGTCCACTAATTGCCTCTCACTGGAACTTAACTTATTCAGGCATTTCACTCATGTCTTGTGGATTTGGAAGGGTCTTTATTGCCTTTTGTATTGTATATGGACTTCCTCAAATCAATATTCTTACATAAAACAGTGAGATAAGCCATGATATTTTCTCTTCCTTTGAAGTTTTTTTAGTATACACATTTTATATTCTGCCTTTAAAGCTATTTCTGCTGCACAGCTGCTTTACCAAGACAGACTCCTACGGCCCTGCTTGGTCCAACATGTACCTTGAATATCTTTTCACAGTGCTTGATTTCTGCAGTTGGTTGTATAATGAGGAAGGAGTGTGCAGGGTGTTTGGAGATTCCTATTAACCAGGTCACCCATGAATCTATCTTCTTGCACTTCTTTATTAGAAATAGCAGGGAACATGATTATATTTAAATATAATCACTTATAGGAACTTTGTTTCAAAAATACACCTTACCAAGTTTTCTTTTCCTATTCGGTGTTTCAAAATGTTGTACTACGTTTTCCCATCATTAGAACTACTCTTCTCTGTTTTCGTTCTGTGATCTGAATAGAGACCACTGAAAATGACAGCTGGTGTTCAGATACATGTAGCCAGTTGATTTGCGATCCTCTGCCCCCGGGTAGACTATGTTGGGATGCCTCATTCTGCTCTTAGTACTATTGGGGAGGACGGAACGTGGTGCAGTAGGGACAGTCGTGATGATGAGGGATGGATGACGGGGCTTGGGAACAGATGAAAGAGAGTCATCTCCAAGAACCTTGATGGAGGAAATCTCATGAAAAAGAGAGACTAGAACTGTTTTGAGGTGTACGGGAGACAGAATCAATGAATGAACATACTTGATTCATCTCAAGAAAAACCTAACAGTCAGAGTGTCAGGGTGTCTCGAGCGTGTTGCCTTGTCGGGGAGGTAGTGAACCTGCAAGCCCTTTGGTTGCTGGTCCCCAGGCTAACAGAACCATTTGCCGGGAGTGGTGTTTCCAGAAATAACAGGTTCACATCAGCCGTGAGGTTTGGTGGTCCTTGATGTCTGGCATAGATATTATTGCTCTAGTAGTGATAAAACAGACAGAAACTGAATTCCTTTGATTTGCTGAGAACAGGGCCAGGGATTTAGCTCAGTGGTTCTGCTGCTGCTTCACAAGCACAAGGTCCCGAGTTCAATCCCTGGTACTAAAAAAAAATAAAAAACTCAAATTGCTGAGAACAAATGCCCCAAATGAGTCATTATAGCCAAGAACAAAGATGGAAAGTAAGTTTCAAGTTTTTAAGGCAGGCAACTTGTTATTACTGGCAGATTCTTTACTTACATAGCTTAGTTATTTAGATGGCTTAAATACTGCTTAAAATGGATCTCCCATAATTCATCATGTTTTTGTTCTGCTTAAGAACTGGTCAACATTTTTACCAACATCAGGATGTCAATGGAATAGGATAATGATCTCTTACAAATGCAGAGAGTTTTAGAGTTCATCCGGAAACTTCTATATTTTTCTTTGATCTTCACCACAATTCTCTAAGGAGGCATGGTAAATATTATTTCCATTCTTGTGTGGGAAAACTGAGACTAAGAGATTTGATGAGTGATCACACAGTGTCACGTGGTGGCATTAGACCTGGGATGGCCCTGCTTTGTCAAAAGTGGAAGTATGTGAGTTAGACAGTATTCCTGGCCGTGTTGATAGTAAGCATGGCAGCTGTGGACAGTCCTGTAGGTCAGTTGGAATCCAGCATGCATCTCACATAACTGTTGTCTGAGTTCTCTTGTCTTTCCACATAGCTTGCTGTCTGGCACGATCCCTACTTTGTACCTAGAAGTAGGCGGGAGAACAGAGCAGACCTTGGGCATTCGGAAGCACTGGTGTGTGTCTTACTTAAGTGGTCACAGGACCCTTCTGCTATGGTACAGCATGCTTCTGAAAGACCAATTTCACAGCCTGAGGTCCTTGGATGCATTTTGATGTGGGTTTCCGAATTGGAGAATATGTTTATTGACTTTCGTGGGATTGCTTGTCATGTGGACTGGTGAAGGTGGCTTTGATGGGTTTCAGTAACCCTGAATATAGAAGTCAGTGTGAATGGCAAAGGTTTCCTCATAATACAGGTCATGAGGTATCAAGTAATGTAGTTTGGTCTGATTTGTAAATTTTGTAAGTACTGTATAGCTGTTGAACTAAAGACTAGTTTTTATGTTGCTTTTAGGGCTTTTAGTTAAGATAACAGTCTTTGTCTAAAAAGTAATGGATGTGCATTATGGGAATTAAAAAAAATAAAAAGAATTACATGTAATATCTGAAAGATAGCTGTTATTTGAATTTTGTTAAAACAGCCAAGAATGTTTTTCTATGCATATAAATATGTAAAATGTTTAGTATAATACTGTGCATACTTATTAATACACTTGTTTTTCTATTTCACTAAATATCCTCTTAAAAGGGGGCTTGATTGAATTAGCATTTGGGAAACATCATATTTCAGAGCGTTGATGTATTAGATTTTCTTTGGTCCTCTTTCCTTTTGCTGTGTACTTCCTGTTGATGTTTTACAGTATTTCGGGTTGGTGCTTTCAAATGTTGTGTTAACATGTATCATGTGTGTAAATATGCTCTCAAAATATCCCTGATAAAGTGTTGGCTACAAGTCTAATATTTATTCGAACCGGAAAAACTGAAGCTGGGTTTTTATTTTTTTTAGGGTGCCAGGAACCTTGCTGGGCCTCTGTGAGAAAATTATAAACTGTATGTTTATTATGGCTAATTGCCATGGTAACAGCAAGGCTGGGGAGACCTACCCTGCTGTTACCATCACAATCATCCCTGTTATGGAGTCCTGGCTTTTCACAGGGTGAATGGCCTTCATTGCAGGCACGCAGTGGACTCACTTTTCTTTTCCTTTCTCTTGATTCTCCTTCAGCCTGATGAAGTCCTCCGACATCGATCAAGATTTATTTACAGACAGTTACTGCAAGGTGTGCAGTGCACAACTGATATCAGAATCCCAGCGCGTGGCCCACTACGAGGTAAGGATGACACCCATTCATCCTGTTCGAGGGGAAAGGAGCCGCCAGAGTCAAGGATGTAGGGGCCGAGGATGCCCCTCTGGTCCCGCGTGGCTTTTGTGAGCCGCAGGGTGTGAGTCTGTGCAGTACAAGGTCAAACGGGATAAACGCGGCTGTCGGGTAGGGAATGGGGGTCAGGGACATTCACAGTCGTTTTGCTTTTTAAAGTGTACCGTAAGCCCCCAAGACTCACAGGCTTTCTCTGCATGTTCTGTCATCACTGTCCTTGAGGTCCTTTCACACATAAGGTTGGGAGGCATCAGGTCCGCCTCTCTTTCCACCTGACCCTGACTGAGTTCAGGAGCCCTTCCCTAGGCCAGCAGGGGACCTGCTGCATGAGGCTATAGCATCTGCTGAGATCCCTCCCCACTGATGGTTAGTGCCCTAAATTAGAGGCCCTCAGAGTGCTGTTCCTTGCAGAACCAGGACAGTTGTGGCCCTCAGGTAGGCCTGCATGGCTTCTTAGAGGGGAGAACTCGGTTTTGGCTCTGCATTGGAGAGAAGCTGCGAATCTGAGGAATCGGTTGCGTCCCAGGAGGGAACAAGTAGGAGGCAGAGGAAAGGACCGGGGGCTCTCAGTGCTCAGTCTGCGGGGAACTTACACCCGAGCAACGTAAGTTTTCAAGTGTAATAACTTGTAAGGAATTTTAGATTGGAGGACTTAGCCAGCAATTTTCTTTTTTGGAAACCGACAAATCTGACATGCCACTTGTCGCTGGCACTCACAAGACTCTCTGGGCCTCATATTTTCCTGTGTGTCATGAAAATAATAACGATAACATATGAATAGCCAGCCACGGGGACAAGGAACTGACCCTGCGTGCTCTCAGGGTTTTGTGGCAACCAAATGAGATCTGTTGAACTAGTATTTGTGGAAATGTTTTGGAAGCTGTAATGTTTTCCAAATATGTGAATCTGTATTATTAGACATTACTAATGCTTTTGCAGCAAGGTTGTAATGAAAAAAAAAACTTGCTCTTCAGAGAATACTTTTAAAATGAGCCTCTGTCTAAAAAAGTTAATGTACTTATCCCTCAGTATCCACAGGGTGTTGGTGCCAGGATCTCCTAAAATGTTCTAAAATCTGCAGAAATTTAAATCCTTTGTATAAATGGTATATTGTTAATATAGACCCTACCCTCAGCCTCCCATATTTTATTTATTTATTTATTTATTTATTTATTTATTTTTTTTTTTAGACAGGGTCTCACTATGTAGTTGAAACTGACCTGGAACTCACTATGTAGCCCAGGCTGGTCTCGAACTCACAGCGATCCTCCTGCCTCAGCCACCCCAGTGCTGGGATTACAGGTGTGCGCCACCATGCCCAGCTCCTATGTATTTTAAATCATCTCTAGGCTACTCACAGCACCTACTACAGTGCCTACATCACTTCATTTGTGTGGATTCAGCAAAATACTGTTTTGGGGCAAACTCAAATTTTTGGTTTTTGGAATTTTCTGGATTACTTTTCAGTGCTTTTGTTCTGTGGAGTTTTGGGTCCACAGATACAGAGATCACAGATCTGGAAGGCAGGCTGTATATTCTTTTGTCACAAGACAAACAAGTGTTGGAAGAATAAATGGGAAATTATCTGAGAGCGAGTCCACTGTTTTGAAACTAATAATCTTTGTGTGTTCTGTGGATGATGTTTTATAAACCATATGGTTTTATTAATATTAAATCCCCAGCTAAACATTGGGAGAATTGATCCCTGCTCTGAAATTACATGGCTCTCTATTAGTTCTTTACTACATATTTTTAATTTTTAATTATCTTTCCATATTCTTAAGGCCAAAGCAGAGTTTTATTCATTTATCCTCCATAACACTTGGAATAGTGCCTACATATTAGAGGTGTTTAATTAGCATTTATGGAATGGACGGTTGTTTGATAAAAAAGTGCTGGTGATGTTTGACTCCATTGCTACCTGAACTAGAAAATAAACTCTGGAACAGTGACAACAACAGTAGAACTTTTTAAAGAAGTTTGATTAAGAGCTTATTCGATTTCATCTTTTCCTGTTGACATGTGACGCCGCCGCCGTTGAAGAATCTAAATGTTTAGAGACTGTGCTAGTATTGGTGATGTAGCCTAGACAGGACTGCGAAGATAAAACAGTGGCCACACGTAAGCACCAGCAGTGCTGCGAGTCCCCTGACGACATTAGGCAGCTCTCATTAAGTGGGGAGGGGACTCCAAGTGGTGCTGACTTTCCTGCCTCCCGCAGAGCTGGACGTTCCTTTCCACGAAAAGTAGCCTGTGTGTCTTTTCTGGAAGACTCCCGAGGGCAGACACAATTCGGTTGTGACAGACTCCCCGTGCCTCCCTTGTCTTCAGCTTTGGTAGGGGACCCTTACATAGTTCGGCGTCTTCTTTGAGACTGTTGGAAGACTGACTTTGATTCTGTCAGTCTGCCCCTTCCGCCCTCACACATCAACCCTGCGGCAACTCCATGCCGAGCAGGTCTCTCTGAGGTTGAAATCTGGTTCCGTTCACTGACAGCGCTGTCACACTCACTGTCAGGGCTCTATTACTAATCTGTTGTCTCCGCCTGATTTCACTCTTGAGTTCAACCTGATAGTAATTTCAGCTTCCCTGTGGAGCAAATCAGTGAGAATTCACTGCATAGTTTTTATATGTCTGGCAGTATTAGCATTAGGTATTGTAGAGGAGTCTGAGCCTAGATCAGCAATGGTCTCCGCCTGCAGGAATCTCACCAGTGTCGTCGAGAGGAGATCACAGACATGGCACAGATACCTGTGCAGTGTTGAGATGGTCTGAGGAATTCTGCTGCCTGCCGCTACAGCTGCTGCTCTACTTTGACACACACCAAGTGTTAATTATTCTGTCTGTTTGGCTTCCCGATATGTACCACGTTGTGCTGTGAACTTCACAGATCTTGCCATATTCCAAATTCCAAAGAATGAGTCATTATAATGATATTAGAGGGCTGTTAGGCTCAAGAAAGAATTGGCAGAGAAATGCCAACCAAAGCAGCACCGGTACTCTGTCTTACTCCAGAAAGAAGGGCTATTATCAATATATTAATTAATAACAGATACTGGCAGAGTGGTTGGGATAAAGGAACCCTCCCACATTGCTGGTGGGAGTGTGAACGAGTGCAATCACCATGGAAATAAGTGCGGAGAGTCTTCAGAAACCTAAATGTAGAAATTCTGTTTGATCCAACTATTCCCCTTTGGGCATCTTCCTAAAGGAGCTAAAGACATCATGTTACAGTCCTGTATGGGTACCCATGTTTATAACAGCACAACTCACTGGCATCTTGGAAGGAGTTTATGTGCCTATCCACAGATAAATGGATAAAGAAAATGTAGTATTTATGCAGAATTGAGTACTACTCTTCCATACAGAAGGGTAAATTCAGTCATTTGTAGAGAAATGGCTATGCCTTAATACCATATTATTAAGAATGAATTAGATGCACAAGCTTAAAGATTAAATGGTTTGTATTATATATTAAAAAATTAAAGTATACATTTAAAAAATAAAAAGCAAAATAAAAGATAGATTTTAGGAAACAGAGAGATCGATGTTTTACAGAAGAGAAGCTGACCAAGAGGTGGAAGGGAGGAGAATGAGAGAAAAGGGAGGAAAACAATTAAGTTGGGTCTGATAAGTGTGCCAGCTGTCCACTGGGCACGTAATCGTTATGTACTGTAAATAAATGCGTACTGATAAAATTAAAATTAAAGTTGAAAGAGACAAAGAAAGCCTTATTGTGGAATACTGTGATTTATCAAGCTTTTAGTGGATGGGTTGCTGAAATGAGCAGTCTTGGTTTCTCCAGAGAGTACTGAAGAGGTCTCCACGCTGGAAGATGTGTGTGAGGGTTAGGGGTCGCAACAGCATGGGTAGGTGGGGTGGGTTTGGGTGTTAAGGAAGGGGAAATTTTGGCTCTCATGAGGTTATTAAACATCTGGGAGCATAAAATTATAGGGAACATTTTTAATTGACAGTTGTGGTCAGGGCATACTTTTCAGAAAAGAACAACTTTTGCTATGACTTTTACCATGAAGTCTTCTTGAAGTAGGAGATAAAAAAAAAAAAATAGGTTAGTGCCTAATAGCTTCATGCCCTATTTAACAGGCTGTGCCTTCATATATGAAAATAGAGAAGTCTAATATATTTTTAATTGACCCTTCAGAAGTCCCCTTTTGCAGATAAAACCCTGATGTGAAGGAAAGGGGAAACATGGGGCATTATTATTTTTCTTACTTGCTAGGCATTAATAACATGTTAGTGTTTTGGTGGAAAATATAATTAGATGTTATTCTGGCTCACTGGATGAATAGTCTGATTCAACAGAACGAGTAAACACAGACGCAGAAAGGAAGAGAACGCTCTCAAATGAGCATGCCTAAGTGTTACAGCAGCTAGAAGTGTTTCCTGGGAAGGCTACTTGAGTTATTTGCTATAGTTTGAAGTGGCTGAAGAGCTGCCAAAGGAAAGAGTTGCTTGTGTGCGTGAGGATGGCTTTGCAGGTCTGGAGGGAGGGCAAGATGAGGTGTATTTGTCTTGGTAAGGTTCTGTAAAGCCAGCCCCAAATGGCCGGCTTGCCCTGTCCTGACTCCCCGGGGCTGCTGTACCACATGTCTAAGTTACTACCCTTGCAAAATCAGTGGCCTGGGCATCTTGGAACCTTCAGACAAGCTGGTAAGCCTCCTGAGGGAGGTGGTGTCCTGCCTTGAGCACTTTCACTTGTTCAAGGAACACTCCCCAGAGAGCTGCACTCCTGGCCCATACAGGGTGATGAACAGGAGGTAGTGGGTAGGGACAGGGACAGTAGGGCCTCGATGTCTGCACCCCAAGAGACTGCAACATGAAATGTGAGTCCATCTGTACTTGGGATCCAGTCATGAAAAAGGCTCTTTTCTACCTAGTGAGAAACACTTCTGATTTCTCTGGTTCTCTTTTTTGTACATCTCCTTTAGTGT